AGATGTTTTACATCTTTTCACTTTCGAGTTCAGTTTCTCCCTTCTGCTTTTTTGGGGGTGATGGTTAAAGTTACTTGAAAAAAAAATTTTATGTGCATGTGCTATAACCTAAACCTACGTAGCTGAATGTGTCTAAAAGGTTTTCCTCGTATTTTTAGTTGACCCGTTCACTTTATAAGTCATTAGGACATTATAGTTAAGACGCTTGCAGCATTTTATGTATGTTTTACACAGCAAAGTGATACTTAACAGCATATTAAATTCTTTTTAAACTATAGAGTGAAATGTTATCCAAATTTTAAAAACTAGGGAAAAAAGTGTTTAAAGTACTTTAAATTTGAGAACTTGAAGTATCTTCATGTGTTCTGTGTTATCAGTTTATATTAGTAGTGGTAACGATTTCAGCTAACATGTTGGAACATGGGACTAATTTGTGCAGAAGTATATTTAGAGCCTTTTTTTTAATTAACAGTTTTTTGTTAATGCTTATTTTTGAGAGAGAGAGCACGTGTGCATGCCTGCGAGAGCAGGAGTGGGGCAGAGAGAGAGGGAAGATGTGAAGCAGGCTCCTCACTGACAGTAGAGAGAGCCCCGTGTGGGGCTCGAACTCACGAACTGCCAGACCATGACTTGAGCCAAAGCCTGATCCGTAACCGACTGAGCTACCCAGATGCCCTAGAGCCTTTTACTCAATTAGAATTACTCATATCATGTTTGGATTTGTAATTATCCAGCATGGGCCCAAATTAATATACAGTGTTTAGAGTCTAGGCAACAATGCATTGGGTAAGCTGGCATCCTTTAATTGTTGTAGGGTCTCTGAATTTGAGCAAAGTGTGCTAACTTTTCTGAGCCTTAGTCTCCTCATGCATCAAGTGGAATAATTAGACCCTTTCTCCTTGTAACTTACTAGGGTGTTAGTCAAGGTAATGTGAAAACAATCTGTCGTTGTACCAATGCAGTTCGGGCAAAACCATGTTTGGTATGAACGTCCCCATCCTGGAGGCTTTGAACCTTAGGTCTTAGGTTAGTGCTTCAAAGGTTTTTTGACCCTCTTGTTCGATGTTCTCTGAAGTGCACTGTGGTGTAGTAGTTTTTAGGTATTTTTGAGAATACTAAAGCACTTGCCAAAATAATTGTGGAATGTCACCATGTTAGGCCTAGGAGTCAATGCTCTCAGCGAGGGATTGCTCAGGGATTGCTATCAGACCGGATTTTCTTTGCTGATAGGGAAGTTTGTGAGAGCATATCATAGCAGATGAGGTGTTAGCTTAAGGAGGAGAACAAAAGAAGGGATACTGGCGACTTCTTGAATCTCCAAGATTCTTTGGTCCTTGTTTAGAACTCGCAGCTGTCTTTTAGCCTCTTATGCCTTTTCCAGAAGACTTGAATATTTTGATGTATGGTGATATCCCTTACCTGCTCCGAAGCCCTTGGTGGCTGCTGCTTTCTGCACGTTTTACTTTGGCCTCCAAGTTCCTTACTGTGGCTCCTTTCCCAGCCTCACTCGTCTACACATAGGTCATGTTCTACTTACTGTTTTCCAGCCTACTGGTTCCTCTGCGAGTGCCGGGGGTTGGGGCCTTCTGCATGGAATACTCTTTCTTCCCAGCTGTATCTACTAAAGTCTTGGTCATCTGGTTTGTTCCTGAGACCTTTCATGGTCTTTCCTCAATCCCAAGCAGGCATGCTTTTTCTCTTCTTGGGACTACTCTGTGGGAAGAGCATGGTGGCTTGACCTGGATTCAAATTTCGACCCGTGAGTGTCCCTGAGTAATGATCTCGGGTGGGTCAGTTCACGTGCTTACAGCCTTTAAAACACCCAAATTCCATGAAACAGGACAGCCGGAGTGCTTCACACAGGGCCTGGACTTAGGTTCTCGCCCAGCATTGGTGTCTTACTTTTTCTTTCCCTAACGGTTTTTACATTTGCTCTTGCGTTAGAGTATTTTTTTTTTTTATCATGTCTTGTTTTAATAAATTATAATCTTATGGAGGAAGACTGTATCTTTTCTTTGTTTCTCAAAGAGTGCCTAGCACAGCGCATTCACAGAAATGGGTGTTTTGCTGATCTCCGTAGATTCAAGTGGTTCTGGAGTCATTCTGGTTAGGGGATGGTAGTGGAGAGCTCTTGTGTTCAAAGGGCCTACTTCCCCTTTTTCATCCTTGTATTTCTGTCTTCTCCCTATCTTTTAGCTTCCATTTTTACTTCCTTTAGTACTGAGAAAGAGCCAAGCTCACTTCAAAGAGTTGACTTCAAAGCCCCTTTGGCTGAGAATTGCTCGCCGCAGAAGCCTATAGGAGTTGGCGTCAATGGAAGACCTTGTGTTGGTTGCATTTAAAAGTTTTTTGGGACTTCTATTTTTATAATCCTTTTAAAGGGGAAAGGGGGGAGGGTTACAGAAACATCTGCTTCTTAAAAAAAAAAAAATCAAACATAAGCCAGCGTGAGTCCAAAAAAAGTTGAGATCTCTTAAAAGAAAAAAAAAGTGATTTTCTAATTGGTGGAAATGAGTAAGTCTTTTTTCTCAAAAAAGTTACTTTTGCCGTTTTGTCCTAGTTACAAGGGCTTGGGACGGAAATATAGTCTTAACTCCTGTGCAACGTTTTCCAAGATGGCTCCAAGACGGTTGCAGGTTACATAGCCGAAAACAGGGTTTGGGCCTAGCGACACCTCACACTCAGCTCTCCTTTGAGCCGTGCGTGTGGGCTGAAGGAGAGGGCAGAGATTACAGAGCAGTGATGTCCCACCATGGACACTTTGATGCTCTTGTTTGTTGACTTTTTGAGGCTTGGAGTGAGGGACTCTTCCAGGAATGGGAAGTGGAACCTTCCTGCTTTCTATGGTAGTCCCCAGATATATTTACTGAAGGCCTACTGTGTTTCAGCACCTTGCCAAACCTCCCTGACAGCCTTAGTGCGCAGGCTCCTGAGCCAAGCTCTTCATGATTTCACTTCTGCCACCCGACTAGTCATACCCCCTCTGCTCCAGCCCAAGACTTTGTGCGAATCTTTCCAGCGTGCTCCCAAACCCTTATGTCTTATTGGCCTGATGAATCCTCACTCTCCTGGTTTAAGGGTTAATCCTTTATAGAACCTTCCCCCAATTTCCCCTCAGCTGGCTGCTTTGTTCTCAAATATGACCTGGGAACATCAATTAGGACGTTTATTTTATTCTTCGGTAATTATCTATTTACACTTCTCTCTTTGCAAATTGCAAGTCTTTTGAGGGTTCAATGAATGGAATAAACAAGTGCTGTAGGAATTGAAACTAGGTGGAGGTTAGGTTATCCGGGAGAGATCTGACTCAAATCTGTAAAGATTTGATACAGTTTGTTTGCAAAATGTAAGGGGATGGGCTGAGGCAGTTCAGGCTGTGAAGAGACAAGGGTGGGAAAACATCTTTGAGTCCAATGGAGACAGGCCTCAAATGGCAGTCAAGATGTTCGGCCATTTTTACCAGGGGGAATGAGATGATTAAAGCAGAATTCTTAGGAAGCTCTGCCTGGGTAGTAGTGAGCAAGACCGATTTAAGGGGTAGTAAGGGGGGACCAGGAAGGCCAGGTAGGAGAAGATTGCTGAGGTCTGGGAATGAGGCAACAAGGGTGCAGAATCTGGCGTCACCCGACTATGTTCTGCCACCTGTTTCTGTACAGTCAGAGAGCTAAGAAAATATGTTGTGACGTGTGGAAATTATATGCGATTCAGATGTCAGTGTCCATGAATAAGGTTTTGTTGGAACACAGCCATGCTTATTCATTTACATATTGTCTGTGGCTGCTTTCACACACTCTCATCAGCCTTGAGGAGTTGCAACAGAGACTGTGTGGCCTGCAGAGGTGAAAGTGTTTACTCTCTGGCCCTTTACAGAGTAAGGTTGCTGACCCTGGGGTTGGGCCAACCAGGGTGAGTAAGGATGTGAATGGGGAGGAAGGGACAGGCAGGGTCAAGGGACAGTTCAGAGGAAGAAGCAGTGGAGGAGAGTTTTTCCAAGGCATTGCTCTTCCCTTCTTCTGTGTAATTCCGTGTCTTGGGGGTGGTGCTCTAGATGGGGCATCGTTAGGGCAGCGGGGTGTGGAAGGGCAAAAGGGTTGTGCTTTCATGATGCACACATCCTGGGCCCATCTGGGTGGCTCCAAGTCCAATGTGGGCTCCTCGTGCCTTGACCAGGGCCAGCTTGCCGGCTCCTAGGGGCGGGACAAGATGGGGGTGAGGCCAAAGGGTCCACATCTGACTGACTGACAGAGCTTTTGGGAGTGACTGTGTTCTACAGAGAGGACAGGAGTGGTGGAGGGGCTTTCAAGGAGGCCGCCTTCTGCCGTCTGCCCCCTGCAGCTTCCCAAGGGTGTGTTTGTGCGTGACCTGAGCAGTTGGGAGCTCTTTGTGGCTGGTGTTGACACATCGTTTCCCTGCCTTTGGGGCCCAGAGAGGAAGCTGATGACTCCCTTTAGCCTAAGTGAGGAGAAGGCTGGTAGGCCAACTTCCCTGCTGTCCTGTGTCTGCCTGGGGGCAAGTGTCACCCATGGAGCTCTTTGAGGATGAACAGATACAAAGAAGGAGCGTGGGGTGAGAGGGAGGTCCGAGGGAAAACAAAATAGCCTGAGGCATGTCCCCAGTGAGGGAAAAGGCATGACTTTCACCCAGCCTTAGGAATGCCAGATGGGCATCTCAGGCGCCATGAGTCAGAGACGACATGCCCATCGGTCCAGGACAGATCCTGGGGACTGACCGACCATTACCACTTCTGGAAAAATGTTTGTTGTCAGAGGAAACTTTGGGAGGGTCTGGTCTAAGCCTCTTGTTTTATCGGTGAGAAACCTGAGGCCCCAGATGGACGGATTTACCAGAGCTGGTTGCTGATGGAAGTGGGGTTTAATTTCAGGCCTTTTAGGATTATTGCTGAGCAATTCCTAACTTTTTTGGACGTGTGTCACGTGCCAGAGGCTTTATATGCAGCTTTAGCCTTCCTGACGACGTTGGGAAGTAGCTACTGTCCCTATTTTATAGATCGGGAAGGTGAGGCTGGGAAAGGCTGATTTGCCAATGACCCAATAATGGCAAATGGCGATTAGACCTTCGTCAGCCTCACTCCAGGCCCTGTGTTCTTAAGCGATAGGTGTACGTACAGCATACATCTGAGCTGCTTCCTAGCTCCTGTTCCCAGAGCATCCGATCCATTGTCTGTTTCTGTTCATCCACTAAATGTGTACCGAGTACTTGTGAGATGTCAGGAGGATACCGGGTTAGGTGAGGACACGCAGGATACACCATCTTGGTTTTGGCCAAGCCAAGGGGAATGCCAAAGCCAGCCAGGGTAAGGAATGATTGTCGCATGGCGTTCCCCTTCCCACCCTCCTGGCCTCAGCTCCAAGATCCCCTTGTCTGCGAAGCTGCCCCTGACCCCTCAGGCAGGTTGATTTCTCCCACTTTGGGGCTCCCACAGTGCCCCATGCTCTGTCTTTTAGCACTCACAGTGTTCCGGGGACTCTCAGGCTAAGAGCGTGTGTATTTATCTTCGTACCGCCGTCCATGAGCACAGTGCTCAGCATCTTGGGGCACTTGGCAAGTGCTGAGTAAATGAATGAATAAATGAATGAATGCAAACTCAACTGTCAGTGGTGCTCTGACTTTACTTTGCAAATGAATCACTGGAGGCACTAGTTAAAGATTCAAACTCCCGAGTTCTACCCCTTGGCGATTACCCCTAGGTTTGCGAGAGGACCCCAGATTCTGAAGTTCCCTGCGGCACCCAGGTGTTTGTGATGCAGGTGGTCTACAAGCCACACTTGGAGCAACTCTGGCACAGGTGCCAAGCTTTCTGGACTAGAGACAGGAACCAGACCTTAAAAATAGCACTCCATTCATCTGCTTGTGCTGAGACGCCAAGTGCCCCCTCCTGCTGGTGACAGGTCCGGATGTGGGCCAGTTCTCAGCCCAGGGAAAATGAACAGTGTCTTCTCCGTGGCGTCCAGAACAGTCTGAGTCAGTGGAATGTGCCGGCCAGTCAGGCAGAAGGGAACTTCTACTTCTTTTTTAAACCTTGGTGGGAACTGTGTTGGCAAGGCAAACCAGGAGGAGAGGAAGCACGATGGGGGTTTGGGGTTGGCCGATGTCGGAGGGCTGGCTGTACTTTGGGTGGCCACCGAGGGCCATTGCTATATATGCCCCTTTCCTCTTGAAATAGTCACTTCCCCGGCTGGGGTGTGTGTTGCTTGGCCGCCACAAATACATGGCCGTTGTTCAAGGAGGCCTCCTGGGATGTTAAAAAGAGAGAACGGGGCTGGGCTTCGGCCAGGGCTTTCTCTGGAAGACAAGAGAGCTGGCTTTGCCCCTGTCACACCTCTGACTCATTGTAAGATTCAGAGGGAGTGGCTCTGGGGCCTTAGGCTGGCTTTTCCATCTGTAGAATGAGGTGGGGGGTGATGGGGCAGAGTAATAAAGCTTGTTTCTTCTCCTGAAAGGGTGTTTCGAGGCCAGGATTGAACACAGGGACTCTGTTGTGGGTCTGAAGCTACTGATGGAGGCGCAGGAAGCTCGAATTTTGGTGTTAACTCTTTTAGGGTATGTGAGTCGAATGGTGCCAGGTCTCCTGGTTTTCTGTGATGACAGACCACTAGAGTATCAGCTCCCGGAGGCAGAAGGCAGGGACATGGTCTTTCTTTCTTCTTCATCTCTGGGTCCCCGCCGCTGAGCCCTGGGCTTGGCACACAGTAAGCCTCCATAAATATTTATAGAGCTAATAGCCACAAACACTTGGTGCCTACTAGGTATCAGGCCCCATATCTCTCTTGTCTTCTTCACAGATGGGCTGTTTCAGAAGGGGGACATGATGAGCAGGACGTTTTTGAAGGAAGATGCCAAGCTCATACCTCTGTTTTCACCATTTTACCTCTTTCCTCTTCCTTCCATGTAGGACTATCAGAAGTGAAGGAAATGGCACAAATCTTTATGATGGAACGAACCATACTAAGGAGTCAGGGGACTGGGGTTCAAGTTGTGAGTTATCACTTCCTCGGCACGTCGCTTATTAACCTCTCCCAGGCTCAGTGTCCTCATCCGTCAAAGAGACGGCTGATACCCACCCAGGCCACCTCTCAGGGACCCCCGTGAGGCTCACGCAAGACAGTGTATGGGAATGTGCCATAGTTGCAGGGGGAGGGGGCTGCTGAAGTGATCGTGCGTGTAAACAGGGAGGGGTGGAAGCCTCCGGGTGAAAGGAATCTAGCCTCAGTTGTGAGCTCTCGACTCTTCTACGGCAGGTCACCCCTCCTCCGCCCCTGCCCGTGTCCACAAGTATTTTGGTATTAAGAAAACACCCCCTATTTTATTGTGAAACCCTTAAATTAGTGACTCCCAGGCTGGCTGAATTAGGCTTGCCAGGGAAACCACATGCCCCTGTGCATATGTCTGCACAGGGCTTCGTCTTTCCTCTAGTGCTTGGCACGCCCTGACATTCTAGTGTACGTTTACTTGTGTGTGTGTGTGTGTGTGTGTGTGTGTATGTGTGGCCGTGGCCTCCCGCCCCCAAGAGAATGTGAGCCACATGAGGGCAGGGCTCTGTTTTGTGCACTGTGAAATTCCCAGCACCTGGAGCAGTTTCTGGCACATAGTGGGCGCCCAGTAAATATCTGGGTGAATAAATGAGTGAATGAATCCTCACGTTCAGCAGATGTGAACTTCTTTGACTTTAGTCTCAGCCGGTGTTTCTCAAAGAGTGTTCCTAGGACCTCTGGGGGTTCCCGAGACCCTTCCGGGGTCTGTGCAGTCAGAACTACTGTCCTAATAATATGAGACTGTTATCTGTCTTTTCCTTTTCATTCTCTCATGAGTGCAAGTCCTAGTGAACCAGTATTTTCCAAGGAAGCAATGCATGATGGATGGCACAGAGCCATGCAGGGGGAAAAAGAACTGTTCCAAGTGCGATGGATGGAAAGGCCCCTCGCTTTTCACGCGACAGAACGTGAAAAATCACGGACGCAGTTTCAGATTCTACAGTGCAGCCAGCTTTTCAAAAAACGACCTACCATTTGTCCAGTTTTGGTGTGGTGTCAAAGAAAATTAGACAGATTACTGAAAAGTCTATGAAAATATTCCCTTTTCCGACTACACGTGGGTGCGAGGCCAGGATTTCTTCAAAGACTGCAGGCCCTGAGACCATCCTATCGTAGAGCGAATGAGGAAGCACAGTGAGAAATTAGCTGTGTCTTACTCGGCCAGACATTAAAGAGCTTGGCAAAAATCTCAAATGATGCCACTCCTCTCACCAGTTCCTTTCCATACTGGAAGATATGTTCCATAAATGTTGTTTTGTTAACAGATAACGGGTTTATTATGAACAAAAGTTCTTTGGGGTCCTCAGTAAGTTTAAAACCGTCAAGAGTCTTGAGCCCAAATGGTTTAGGAGGCCCGGTTTAGGCCGGAGCCCCGCAGGCCATAGAAGGGGCTGTGTCGACCCCACAGCTCACACCAGGATTCCTTTCCAGGCAGGTGACTGCTGTTTACAGAGCATCCCTGTGCCAGGAGCTGCCTGTCAGAATGACATGCTTGCCTTCTAGTTGCATGGCTCTGGGCACGTTGTGTCTCCCTGGGCCTTGCTCTTCTGATTTCTTAAAATTGGGCTTGGGAGGGATGCTCAGTCCCCACCCCACCTGAGGGTGCCTCAGTCAGTCAAAGGTCCTACTCTTAGTTTCAGCTCAGGTCGTGATCTCACGGTTTGTGAGTTTGAGCCCCGCATCGGCCTCTGTGCTGACTGTGCGGAGCCTGCTTGGGATTCTCTCTCTCAACCTCTCTCTCTGCCCCTCCCCTGCTCATGTGCGCTCTCTCTCTCTCTCTCTCTCTCTCTCTCTCTGTCTAAATAGATAAACTGAAAAAATAAAAAATAAAAAAGAATTGGGCCTGGGGACTGGGTCTGAAATATGTCTTCCTGACATATTTATGTTTAATTTTTGAACCTTCTCCGCGTGTCAGCTCTGTTCCCCCTTCTGAAAGAGATGGGTGAGACGCGACACAGTGATGGGTCCCAGGGAAGTGATGGGGCTTGAAGCTGGATGGGGTCAGCCTGTGAGGGAGCGGGGACTGCTGCATCTTACAGGTGGCAAGCTGAGGCTTGGACCCAAGGCAAGTGACATTGGTGGAGGTTCAATTATCTTGGGTCTGGGTCCCAGACTGTCTCCAGCCTCTAGCCTTACCTCATGGTCTGTGATGACGGCACTGACCTCACATGGGGCCTTTCCTGGGATTTATTGAGCAACTGAGGTCAGTGGCCTGGGGCCACCTGTCCTTCCTGACCAGCCAGTGACTCTGCAGGAAGACACTGTGCGTGTGTGTTTGTTTTCATTGCTCCTGTATGACTTCCTGCTGTCTTCTCAGTGCAACAACGCTTTCAGAAAAAGACTCTGTATTTCCCCATGTTGAGCCATGAAATACATTGAAATCTGGTTTTTTCCCCCTCCAGTCTGAAAGTATTTCCCTATCATGATGCCCCCAGAGAATTGTACACCTTATAGAAAATGGGCAGAGGTTGGGTATGGAGAATTACATGAACCAGTGCACCCCAAGCACTGATTACCTTGTTGCCTGCAGAGCAAGAGCAGTAATAAAATTAAAGTCATACATTATTATCATGGTCAGTGCTGTTTCTCTTTAACAACTAAAAAAGTTTTTTTTTTTAAATGTTTATTTATTGAGAGAGATAGAGCGTGAGTGGGGGAGGGGCAGAAGAGAGGGAGACACAGAATCTGAAGCAGGCTCCAGGCTCTGAGCTGTCAGCACAGAGCCCGACACGGGGCTCGAACCCACAAACCATGAGATCACTAGCTGAGCTGAAGTTGAGTGCTCAACCAACTGAGCCAACCAGGCGCCCCCTTAGCAATTTTGATAATTGATTTGTACATCCCATTCTGCCAGTTTATTCTGCAACTAAAATGCATTGAATTCTAGTGTGCCAGGCAAAGTGATGAATTTTCTGTCCTGTGATGAATGTGGTTAGAAATGCATAGGACTTAAGTTCCCAAACATTGGCCTACAGACGGGTGCACAGCTTGTGAAAAGTTCCTAACTGTCCATGTTAAAAAGAGAAACTCTCTCCCCCTCCTCCACTTGTGCTCTCTCTCTCTTTCTCTGAAAAAACAAACTTAAAAATAAAAAGAGAAAAATAAGGATAACCCCCTGAGATTCTCATGACACTAATTCAGTTCAAAGGACCATCGTTTCATCAGAATATATCCTTCCTGTCGTTTTATGGGGAAAGTGTTTCCTTTTGTGTAACAAGAATGATAGTAGGTAGTAAGTACCCTTTATTTGGAAAAGTAAAAAGTTGTAACCCTTTGGTTGACCCTTAATGTTTTGGGTGTGTAATGTTTGAAACTGCATTGATCTGTGAAATCCAAAAACCTGGTAGATAAAACCATAAACTGTCACAGTTAGAGGGGCCTGAGCAAAGAGCCCAGTAGGTGCCCCTCATTTTACAGGCAGGGGCCTAAGACTCCGAGAAAGCATGTGACTTGCCCAGTGTCCCACAGCAAATCTGAGGTGAGTCAAGGCTAAGACCCAGAAAGGATGGCTGTGAGCTGTGGTTTTGAGTCAACCGCCCCTCTATTCAAATTCTGCCTCTGCCGCTTACAAACTGATCTCTTATCTCTGAAATTGGGGTACCTGCCAAAGGAGTCAACATGAAGATTTAATGAGATGATTTGATTTGGGAGAGAGTTTGGCGCAAGGGTAGAGGAAACCTTCTCTTTGCCTCCCCTTCCTCATTAGTAAATAGGTTCTTATGATAGGTCAGTGTGTGACATCCGTCAGAAGGTCCCCACGTTTCCTACTTGTGTTTCTAAGTAATCCCAGCTTTTCCTTGGCTTCCCAGTCCTTTCTTGGTGATCTCTCTCTTCAACTTTGAATGATTTTAAAGATCTGATTTGAGCCTGTCTGCCGCCAGTCCCAGGCACAGGTCCTAGGCGGGAGGGTGGGATAAAAGGGCTTGCCGGGGTCCCATGTTATGCACACAGCTCGGGCACTTCCCTTTCCTGGGGGACCTGCCTCCCTCTTGGAGTCCCAAGATGACTGGCAAGCATTTTCTTTCTCATCTGGGGCGACAAGAGGTGGCCTTTTAACGGACATACCACAGAGTAGCAAGCACGCAGAAATTCTCATGACATGTCAGATTGAAAGACCGAAGAACATCCCATCCTTCGTCTTGAAGCCTTATAATAACTGACGTAAATTATCTGTGGGAATGGAATGGCCCTGGCCTAAGCCGAGCTGTACCGGGCTCTCCTAGTGACAGTTTAGTGACTCCATATGTTCACAGATGAAGGGAGCATGGCAGCTTGGCAAATGGCCCCAAATGTCTCTGGCTTGGTGCCATAGGCTTATCTTACAGACCTGGGCAGAGTGATGTGTGAAGAATGCCCACCTTTGTTCTTGGCCCCCCAAGAGGCCCTCTGTAGGTAACGGTCGTCACTGCTGGGATTCCAGCGTTCCTGGTCCTGAAGGCTTCTCTCTCTGCATGTTATTTGAGTGTCTTCTTCTTAAGTCTCTTGTGTCCTGCAGGTTGGATGAATTAGATGCCCGTGATAGGCCCATCTGTGCACAAGGGCGGGAGTCACATGTGGCTTCTATACATGTGGCTTCTGTACCAATCGCATGTGCTTGGCTTTGCTTTGGGCGATCTGAGCAAAAATGCAGGTTCCATCCTGATGTGTCATATTACGAAAATTTATGTTGTACTGGCTGCAGCCAAGTCAGCTGACATGCTTTGCTTTAGGAACTCTGTGTAGAGCTTGTCTATTATTTATTCAGGTAACACACCGTATCTCTTCGTGTTAGAGACGCACTGTTTGTCATCCATAGTCAGTGTGTCAGGCAGCCGGGGTCTGTCTGCTCTGTGTGAGAGCCACTCTGAATGGTTTTATTTTGGCTGTTATTCATGCCCAAATGTCCTAGGAGACACTTTTTAATTGTAAAAGGAAGCCATGCCCCGTGTGGAAATTATGGCAAGTACAGGAACATGTTTAAAAACAAACAAAACAAAACGAAAGCCCAAAACGTTGCCTATAATCGACTACTGGAGGAGACCACCGTTAAGGATTTGATGTGTGTTTTTTCAGTATTGTCTTAAATGCCTTAAGAGGATTTGGTGAATGTCCTACTGTACGTGTGCGGATGACTAAATGGAGATGATGCGTTCAATTTAAAGGGCTGTTGTGAGGGTTTAATGAGGAAACAAATGTGAAATGAGAGGGATTTTTGTGGAGGGTATAGAGCAGGGCTTGGCCCTGTCACATCCTACTTCTAGGGCCCTGTATTGCTGTACTAGCCATTGAAGTATGGTGCCTTTGTTTCACCATCTGTAAAATGGGGCTAATTATAGTATATCCCTATATGAGGTCTTTGGAGCTGCGTTATAGCCAGCTCACAATAAATATTGGCTGTTCTTATTCAAGACAAACATGGGAAAACACATTACTTTTTACAAAATTTTTTTCACGTTTATTTATTTTTGAGACAGAGAGAGACACAGCACGAACAGGGGAGGGTCAGAGAGAGAGGGAGACACAGAATCCGAAACAGGCTCCAGACTCTGAGCCATCAGCACAGAGCCCGACGCGGGCTCGAACTCACGGACCGCGAGATCACGACCTGAGCCGAGGTCGGACACGTAACCAACTGAGCCACCCAGGCGCCCTGAGGAAAACACATTTTTAAACAAAGCAGGTGTTCAGTCTCCTCTCCCAACTTCCTAGTCTTAGTGGGTCAAGGAAACTCTCATTAATTTACAGCCTGTTGAATGGCAGGTAGGAGCAGTTCTCGAGGGTCGGCGCAGCACACGTTGTCTTTGTATCCCATGCGACATGTGACCCCTGCCACCTGGTTTGTCTTCAGCTAATGAACAAATGTCCAGATGACCTGGATCTTCCCTCCTTCCTCACACACATTTTTCTCTCCTACATCCACTTGTTACCCACCCCTGGACTTCCCATCCGGTTTTATGAAGTGCCTGCACCCTAGAGCTGTCCCCACTGCCTGCCTTGGCTCCACGTGGCTGTGGGCTTGTGGCTGGTGCTTTGTATTTTTGAATCATTCGGGCCGAGTCTTCACCCTGCTAGTGTGTTCCCCTCATGATGCCCAGCCCACCCAACTCTAGAGGGTGAGTGTCTCCGGTAGAGGTGAAGTGGTTCCTAAACCAAAGGCTGTTTATCAGACCACAGTCCAAAGAGTGACACTCAGTGATCCACGGGGGCATTTCCTGTTTGCCTTGGAGGGTTTCTTCAGTCTGCAATTAAGCAAAGTCCTCTTTGGTAAAAGGAGAGAGGGGACAGGCTTGTTGTGGACCAGTCAGGTGGGACTGGAGAAAATACCCTGGGGGGGGGGGGCCCAGGCTAGGTGTCTGGTCTTGGGCAATTCACTTCCTATGTTTGGGCATCAACTTCCTGATTGTAAAATGGAGATAAGAGAATCCCTTATCTCCCTGGAGTGTTATTAGGATTCCTTACGTGTGGGAAAATGTTTCCTGGCATATAAGAAGACCTCAGTCAAAGGGCTGTGTTGTCATATTATTGTTAGTATAAATTTGCAGTTTTTTATTGCTTCCCCTTAAGGAGGTAAGTGTATGTGTGTTTAAAAGGTTAGGCTCCAAAACAGAACTTTGTACAGACCTTGGGGCTGGATGGGCCTTATTTATTTATCGGTGTGTGGTGACGGAGGGGCATGTTACAGGCCAGCTGTTCTCACCACCCTTCTCTTTCTAAAGGCAGGTCTTCTCTGGTCTCCCCTAAGGGTAACATGCGGTGGTGTTCACGTGACTCTCTTTTCCCTTTCTGCTCCAGATTCCAGCTTTTTGTTCCTTCAGGTGATTGAAACATTTCTCAGAGATACCTGCTTCCTTAGGATTGCTACCGAGGCACGTCTAGGTGAGACATCCAGAGGAGGCCGGCTCTGAGAGCTCCCACTCTTTGCTCAGGGTTTATTTCACTCAGAGGATGGTGTGCCCTCCCCCAGCCACAAGAAAGGTCCAAGCTTGTTTGCTGGAGCCCGAGGTGGGCAGAGCCTGCTGAAGATCCGAGCAGGGCCCGAAGCATTGCTGGTCTGTGGAGCAGTGTTGAGTCTGTGAAGCTTGTAGGTTGTAAGCGTTGGCAGTCTACGTCGTTATTTCCGGACTCCCCCGGGTCCCGTTCAGAAGTGCAGGTGCTTCTGGCCATTGCTGTGGGATAGAGAGGTAGCAGCCAAACTGAGAAGGGTAGCCGCTTCCTTCTGAAAAGCTGTCTTAAATTTTTTTTTAAATGTATTTAATGTTTTTATTTATTTTGAGAGGGAGAGAGAGAGATAGGGCGTGAGCAGGGGAGGGGCAGAGAGAAAGGGAGACACAGAATCCGAAGCAGGCTCCAGGCTCCGAGCTGTCAGCACAGAGCCCGATGTGGGGCTTGAACTCACGAGCTGCGAGACCATGCCCTGAGCCGAAGTCGGACACTCAACTGACTGAGCCACCCAGGTGCCCCTGAAGCGCTGTCTTAAAGATGTATTTTTGCAGACGGGAAGATTTTATTAGCATAATATTCCAAGAGTGGAGTCTGCGAAGAGCTGGTGTGTGCCATTTCGCTGGATCTTTGCACAGTTCTGTGAGGTTAGGAGGCAGGAGTGTCATATTATGGACAAAAGAACAGAGGCCCAAACAAGGTGAGGTGACCCTGGGATGGAACAGGTGCTTTGATTCAGGACCAGGATGCAGGTCTCCCTACCCACGGGAATAGTCTCACTTGTCTTTTGGTTGAGTCCTGAAGTGGAGGTGGCCTCTGCCATGATCTGCTACCTGCAGCCTCCTCCACTGCCCGGCTGGGACTTTGTTAGGCAACTGCCCGTCTAACCAACCAGCTGATCACGCCAGCGGCCTCCACCCAGCTCCCGATTTCCCAGTCCTCTCCCTTTCTCTCCTGTTCTCTCCCCCACCTCCCTCCCTCTCCGTGGCCCCTCTCCCTTCCCTTTTTTTCCTCCGTCTCTCTCTGGAATTAGGGCTCTCAGTGCCTTCCTGCCCGCACCCTGGACTTAGGCCTGTGTTCCTGGCCTGGCTGTAGACCAGACCCCTTTCCCTCCCTAGTTAAGAAGGCACTTGAGGGGGCAAGTGTTGGCTGTTCGGTGCGAAGTTTGGATTTGCTCTGCTTCGATAAGAAGTCAACTGTCCGCAAGCTTATTAGTTACACATTAAGGGCACTGTTTCTCACCACTGATGGTAACCTACCTTGTCAACTGAGAACCATTTTTCTAGAAGCTAATGATTAGCTAATTGAATAAAACAAGTGGTTCTAAAGTGGATATGAACATCCAAGGGCTGCTTTAAAGTGGTCTACATTAAATGACAGAGCACATTAAGGAACTGGTGCACGTCACTCAAGCATCTAGCCTACAGGCATGTATTAAACACCAACTATGTGCAAGGCACTCAGAGGGGGAACAAAGGAGCTGATGAAGTGTGTGTGTTTGTGTAATTTACACTGTCGTGAGGGAACGAGGGCAAACCTCAGACACCCACAGGCTAGAATGCAGTGGGGCAATGGGCATAGTGGAGAGGACATTGGCCAAGAACCAGGAGGTCTGGGTCTGTCTTCGGCCCTTGCTCCCGACCTTGGAGTGCCACCTCGGGCAAGTCACCTGACTTCTCTAGTTCTTTATGTTTGTTTATTTTTGAGAGATAGTGAGAGACAGAGCGTGAGTGGGGGAGGGACAGAGAGAGAGGGAGACACAGAATCTGAATCAGGCTCCGTCTCTGAGCTGTCAGCACAGAGACCGACACGGGGCTCGAACCCACGGACCATGAGACAATGACCTGAGCTGAAGTTGGACGCTTAACTGACTGAGCCACCCAGGCGCCCCCTCTAGTTCCTTATGTAACTGAAGCAGTGCCCAGCCATCTAGCGATCACCTGATAAATGTTAGCTGTTGTCATGGTCACTGATGATGCGGATAGTGCGTTGTGTTAGTGGCTTAAACATTTTTATCATGTATGTGATGATATGTGAAGAATATAGTTGTGCTCCCAGTGCAAGAATAAAGTATACACCTGTGAACCCACCACCCAGTTATTTCATCTACCTGTGTTCCCTTTTAAGCCCAGCATTTGCCTACTCACCCCCCCAACCAGATCACCACTGTCTTGAATTGTATTTATTGCTTATCAGCATTAAAAAAATCTTAAGAACATATCTGTGTAGATACTGAAGCAATCTCTTGTTTAGTTTTGCTTATTACGGAGTGTCTCACACGGTTTTCTGTGACTTGCTATTCTCTCTCAGTCTTGTCTTCCTAATCTTCATATCGTGTGTTGCTGCAGTGAATTCAGTTGTAAAGGCGTAAAGTGTTATTTGGTATGTTACATTGCAGCTTCCTGATCCATTCTTCTGAGTGGTTGATATTTGGCTTTTCCCACTTTTTTTGGCTGTTGCACACGATGTTGCTGTGACCATTCCGGTGCGTGTCTCCTGGTTTGCACGCAGTGAGGGTTTCCGTGTGGCTCGTTCTCATGAGTGGGATTGCTGTGATGAAGTTTTAACTTCACAGGATTGCCAGATTGCTTTCTGGAGTGATTGTGCCCAGTTTCCCACCCCTTCAGCACTGTGTAAGAGTTCCTGTCGATCCATGGGTTCTCCATCACTGGATGCTATCAGAGTTAAGTTTTGGAAATCCATATTTTTGTGGCTTTCATCTGAGCAGTTATTTTTATCTCTGATGGTCACTTGTATTTCTTTTGTGAAATGTTGTTCAGGTCATTTGGTCGTTTTTTTCTGTTGGATTATTTGCTTTATCTTATTGATTTTTTTCAAGCTCTTTATATGTATATGTATATATGTATAATTTTTTTGGCAAGCTTTTTATATTCTGAGGTTAATTCTCTGTTGGCTGTATGCATTGCATCTTCTCTCTGCTTGTGGCCTGATTTCTCTTTCTTTTTTTTTTTTTTAATTTTTTTTAATGTTTTAATTTATTTTTGAGAGAAAGAGACAGAGCATGAGTGGGGGAGGGGCAGAGAGAGAGGAAGACACAGAATCTGAAACAGGCTCCAGGCTCTGAGCTGTCAGCACAGAGCCCGACGCGGGGCTCGAACTCACAGACTGTGAGACCTGAGCTGAAGTTGGACACCCAACCAACTGAGCCACCCAGGTGCTCCCTGACTTCTCTTTCTTTTAAAAAAAATTTTTTTTTAAATGTTTTTATTTATTTTTGAGACAGAGACAGACAGAGCATGAGCAGGGGAGGGGCAGAGAGAGAGGGAGACACAGAACCCAAAGCAGGCTCCAGGCTCTGAGCTGTCAGCACAGAGCCTGACACGGGGCTTGAACTCACAGACAGATCATGACCTGAGCTGAAGTCGGCCGCTTAACCGACTGAGCCACCCAGGTGCCCCCTCCCCCCCTCCGCGCGACTTCTCTTTCTTTAAAGTATCTTTTGAGGAACTGGGGTTCTTAGTTTTGAAGGGGGTCAAATTTATCGGTCACTTTTTTTATGGTTATGCATTTGGGTTTTGCGTAAGTTATGGAGATGCTCCCTTCTATTTTATTCTGAAAGGTTCAGGGTACTGCCTTTCACATTTATGCCTTTTGTTTGTTTAGAAGTGATTTAGGTTTATGGTTTGATGATCACGGTCTGGTTTCACAGTCTCCACATGGATACCGCACTTTCCTGTTAACGCAGTTTGATGAATTCTTCCCTCTGCTGCTCATGGTTCTGTGCCGCAGGAGCTTATAGCAGGGTTCCAGGGGTGAGGAGGTTTCTGTCTGGGTTCTGGGTTCATTTTCATTGGTCACTTTGTTCCTGTACGAGCACCACACTATGTTAGTTACTATTAGCATTATAATAAGTTGTTATAGGTGGCAGAAGAAATGACTCTACCAGGTTCTTCAGGAGGAGGTCCTGGCACTTCCTGGCTTTCTGCCATTTAAGTCTTAGGATCACCTTTCTGGAAAAAACCCAACCTCATTTGAATTTTGGTTAGGATTGCGTTGAATCTATAATCAACTTGCCAAGAATTGACATCTTTCCATATTGAGTCTTCTAGTCCAGGGACGTGGTATATCTCTTCTAAGTCTTTTATTTATTTATTTTATTTTATTATTATAGTTTTTAAAAGTTGTTTATTTATTTATATTTGAGACAGAGAGAGTGTGTCTAAGTGGCAGAGAGAGAGAGAGAATCCCAAGCAGGCTCTGCTGTCAGCACAGAGCCTGATGTGGGGCTCAAACCCATGAACCGTGAGATCATGACCTGATCCGAAATCCGGAGTCGGATGCTTAACCACCTGAACTACCCAGGTGCCTCTCTTCTAAGTGTTTTTTTTTTTTTTTAATGTTTACTTATTTTTGAGAGAGAGAGAGAGAGAGAGAGAGAGAGAGAGACAGAGTGTGAGCAGGGGAGGGACAGAGAGAGAGGGAGACATAGAATCTGAAGCAGGCTCCAGGCTCCGAGCTGCCAGCGCGTCGCTCGAACTCACAGACTGCGAGATCATGACCTGAGCTGAAGTCGGACGCTTAACCGACTGAGCCACCCAGGCGCCCCTCTCTAATTATTTCTAAGAATGTGTCTGTGGATTAACATTTTTTTTCTGTACAGCCAATTTTGTCACCTCATTTTCTGTAAGTAGTTTTACTTCCTTCTTTCTCATTCCCAGTATTTCCTTTTCTTGTCTGCTATGTAAACAGAAGTGGTGCCTGAGCATCCTTGTCTTGGTCTTGATTCTTCCCCCATCCCCCACCTCTCCAGTTTTATTAAAGTTTAGTTGACAAATAACATCTTGGTCTTGATTTTAGAGGGAGTCCTCCCCAGTTTCACTGGGGTTCAGAATGCTGCCTGCTATTTGGTAGATTGCCATTATCGGGTTAAGGAAGTTCCTTTCTAGTCTGAATTTGCTAAGAATTTTTCATGTGTGAGTGTTGAATATTACCAACCCCCTCACCTGACCTTGTGTTTTTTTCCCCCTTTAATCTGATACTATAATAATGACATATATTTCCTATCTCTAAGCCATTCTTGCATTTCCTGGATAAGTCAACTTGGTCATGATACTGTCGTTTTTATAAGTTGCTGGGTTCATCTTTACTAATATTCTGTTTAGAATTTTTTCATCTAGGAAATGTATCAGGTTGGCCTGTAACTTTTCTTCCTCATTGGTCCTTGTCTGTCTTAGTGTCAGTATATTGGTTTCATAGAATAAGGGAGCATCGCCCCTCCCCAACTCATTAAAAAAATTTTTTTTTAATGTTTATTCATTTTTGAAAGACAGAGAGGGACAGAGCACAGGCAGGGGTGGGGTGGAGAGAGAGGGGGACACAGATTCTGAAGCAGACTTCAGGCTTTGAGCTGTCAGCACAGAGCCCGATGCAGGGCTTGAACTCACGAACCGTGAGATCATGACCTGAGCCAAGGTCTTACACTTAACTGACTGAACCACCCAGGGGCCCCTGAAAATGTATGTTTACTTAAACGATTGTTCTTCCTAGGTTTTACTTGTCAAATGTCAGCCCTGATCATTTGGTTTTACTGAAACAACATTATGACCACAACCAAAAAACCTCAGTAATTCCAGAGGTGCTTAAGTCCCCAGTAAACAGGGATCAGGCCTGATTTTTCTTTTAAAGGGAGTAACTTTGACCACTTTTAGTCTAGATATATGCAAACTTTTCTGTAAAGAGCCAGATAACAGTTCAGCCTTTGTAATCTCAATATGGTCTCTCTCACACATTCTTTGATTTTGTTGTTTGTAGGACCCTTTAAATTTTTTTTTAATGTTTATTAAGTTTTGAGACAGAGAGAGAGAGAGTGAACAGGGGAGGAGCAGAGAGAGAGGAAGGGAGCAGGGAGGCAGAATCAGAAGCAGGCTCCAGGCTCCGACCTGTCAGCACAGAGTCCGACTCGGGGCTTGAACTCAACAAACCGTGAGATCATGACCTGAGCCGAAGCCGGACGCTCAACCGACTGAGCCACCCAGGCGCCCCTCCCCTCCTCATTTTAATCCTTTAGTAGCTTTTGTGTAAAATTGTGTATAGTTTATAGTGTGTAGTGTATAGCGAATAGTTTATCAAATGTTCCTCTGCCCCCGGAACTGTGTGAAGGTGTGAAGTGATAGGCGTTAACTAACCTAATTGTGGTAACCACCTTGTAATTCATATGTATATCGAAATCACCACCGTATATCTTAAACCGTCAATTATATTTCCATAAAGCTGGGGGAAAAATTCAAAAAAAGTTTTGACACCAGAGGCTGCTACCCATGTGCTCTTTTTTATACTGCCAGCTTAACTTTTTTTTTTTTCTTTTAAATGATCCCTCAGGAATAAAACCCCTGCTGTCTGTTTCATTGTGACGAATTGTTAGACTTTCACCATTTACAGCTACACATCTATGTGAATCAGAATTTTATTGATTTTGTGCAACTGAACGGAACCCAGAAATGGTTGGGATATAACCCATGACTTCAGATTTTTTGTTTGCCCAGGTTGCTGTTTTGATAAAGTAGATGGGTACTCCATAATAAGTAAGTGGTATGAATTTGAACTTTCAAAATTAAGGCTTACTAATAATGTCATTCATCGTATCGGGCTTTCTTTGGGATTCACATGAGATTTGATTTGTCAAGAGGATTTTGCTGTTGTAAAATAATACAGAGGGGAACCGCTGATGGCTAATGGCTCCTGCAGTTCTGAAGATCCTTGATGAAGTGTTCTTTGATGATGTGTCGGGACAAATGGTGCAAACCTTTGACAGACGCACGGCCGTGCCTAGAGAGAGCCCAGCATTAACTGCTGACCTCGCCATCCCAAGTGAGCAGGTGTTGAATGAGCTGAGCTCCCTCTCGCTCTTTCTTTCTCCCTGGTGGGTCATTGGTTCCTGAGTAAGATAGATGCATGCAATAGAAGAGCTGTTAATAGCATTTACTCTGTCTTAATCCTTTTTAATCCCATTCATATTTCAGTGTCTGCAACTTGGCAGGCTGTCAGAAGCCACAGTACAAGAAGGGAAATTTCTCTTTGGACAGCGAGGAACAAGTAAAATTGTTTTCCTGATATTTAACTTGTTAAAACATTTAAGAGTGGAATAGTCCCTCTTAGATCCCAAATAGTGTGCCACCAAAAGGTTTTGCCAAAATGACCTTCCTGGGGCTTCTTCTTATCTTTCTTTTTTAAAAAAATGGCAGTGAAGTCGTTTTATCAAGTTTACCAACTTCCATAATAAGATATTCCTGGCATTTTAAGTTTACTGAATGGGGAAATAACTTTGACAGAGGCTGATGGCTGAAATCAAGTGTTGCCGGTCTGATGTCAAACCTGTTGGGAATTTGGACCATTCACTCTGTACCGATATGACCTTAGCCTCTACTTGGGCTTGTCTGCCCTACCTTCCTGATTGATAGGAACTGCCTATTTCCTTGCAGATCTGATACAAGGAATTTGACAAATCCCAGTAAAATGCTGGGAGGACTGAGACCCCGATCTCTCTGGAGATCTGTTAAATCTGAGATTGGGTGGACTGGTTTGTGGTGTCTAGTGTGATGCAAGTGTGATTTGAAGTCCTTATGTAGCCGTCAAGGATGTTTTTGGGGTGCAGAAGTTCTTGGTGGCCCAGTGGCTCCCCACATGACCAGACGTGGGGTCAACTTCAGGGTAACAAGAGGACAGATGCACAAGAACACGGTGTCTTGGGCTTCCTGGCCTTCCTCTTCTGAGGGCCGGCCTTAATTGGGTGGAGATGGGTCTTGTCTGGAGGGGGAGCCCTTTCTGCCATTGGGCTCTTGCCCAACCCTGGGGTGAGGGCTGGCCGAGGGGGGTCCACACCATTGTGGGAGAGAAGCCTGAGAGCTCCTTGAGGAACATTTGGGGTTTGAATCAGTTGTGTCTTTGAAAAAATTTACCCATTTTGGACTTGTCTGTGGAAGCAATTAGGGAGATCACAGGACCGTTTCTGATTCCTGATTCTGTACAGTGTCTATTCAGAAAAATAGAAAACAGTCAACTGGAACAGGGGATTATTTGAGCACACACAGAGTCCTGTTGTCTCAGAGGCATGCCCTCAGACAATTTGCCTTTTAGTGAAGTTTAAGCCCATGAAAGGAAATAAAAAGTGTTTTATTAGATGGCAAAGAAAGATGGACTGGACTTATGAGACTTTGAGAATTTTAGCTTTTTCTTTGTTAAGGCAAACTTAGGAAGAGAGTCACTCTTTATATAATGCAATTTATTTGTACAATGTGGTAATTATCGTTAATAGTTAAAATCATCTTCAATGGGGTAAGATACCCGTGTGTGTGTGTGTGTGTGTGTGTGTGTGTGTGTGTGTGTGTGTGTGTTGTGAGCCTTTTGTCCAAAGCCAAATGTTACTACTTCTGGAGATGAGTGTACCTTCAGGATATAACCTGCTAGCAATTATTAAGCACCAACTTTGTACAAGACCGTATGGAAGTTCTTGCTTGCCACCGTCATGAGAGGTCAGGCCACATTGTTTTTCCGATGAATATGTGAATTGGTGGCTCACCTAGTAGGTGGTGAGATGGAGACTCGAACCCAAGTCTGACTCCCACATCCGTTCTTCCTCTTCTGCAAAATGCTGACTCATTCACTTCAGGTCTTGCTGGAACCCAGCCTGCATCACTGCAGCTTCCAGAATGTTTATATCCATCATGTCTTTTTAAGTGCTGAATTTTGTTTCCTGAAAGCACACAAGGAAGAGCAAGGCATCCATGAATGTAGCAAATAATGTGTTGTGTGAGCAGATGGTGCCAGTCAACGGGGAGGGGAAGGACTTACTAAATGCTGAGTGACAGAGTATTGGTCCTCCTGACCCTGGTATGGAAACATTTCAAATTGTCAGTCAGTGAGGAAAATCACTCTTAGCCTGAATTCCCACATCGGCTGGTGGGATTACTTCCTAGGATCTGTTGGATTGCTGGATTCATTGAAGGGAGAACCGGAAGAAGCTGCCAGAAATTTGTGGTGTTTCTGAGGGAAACCCTCCCTATGGCCCACCTTTTCCCAGTCTGGTTTGTTTGTTTGTTTTTAATTTATTATTATTTTTTTAATGTTTATTTTTGAAGGAGAAAGGGACAGAGTGTGAGTGGGGGAAGGGCAGAGAGAGGGAGACATAGAATCCGAAGCAGGTGCCAGGCTCTGAGCTGTTAGCACAGAGCCCGATGCAGGGCTCGAACCCACGGACCACGAGATCATGACCTGAGTCCAAGTTGGACGCTTAACCGACTGAGCTACCCAGGCTTACCTCCAAGTCTGGTTTTAGATCCATTACAACCCACTGGGCAAACTCCGCCTGGATTCCAGAAGACCGGGCCCCTCCCTTGTTTAAAGACCATTAAAGGATGTCTTCAGTTTATGTTGGGTTAAGTTTTCCTCAAACCAAACCAAGTAACTCCCAGCTCATTCCCCTCCAGTTGTTCAGGGCTTTCCAGGAGCATATGGGTTGTGGCTATCTAGACCAGAGGGGACTCATCTTCTCCTACGATCTCTTTAAAATGCCTTAATCCAGTGGTTCTCACACTTTGGAGGGGATTTGAGTCACCTAGAGAACTGATAAGAGGCCCAAGCTGGTTGAAGTAGAATAGGGCTGGGCTTTTGTATTTTTTACCAAGTTCCCCAGATGGCTTTGATATCTGCCAAAGTGTGAGAACCACTTCCGTGTGCTTTCTTGCCATTTTATTTGTTTCTTGGCTTGTATGTTCTCTTCCATTCTTTCTGGCTGTCCAGATGAAATTCAGTTCTCATGCCTAGACCTTGTCCCCACCCCCATCCTTTCTGCCTATCACACTGCTTACAATCCGGCTGTCCAGTGCTCAGCAAGCTCAGGCGCTGTGCTAGGTGTGAGTTATAGACTCCCCACCCCCATGGGGCTTCCAGCCAGTCAAGGAGACACGTATAATCATGAGCCCCAAGAGGTGAGGCTGGGGGTTGAGCAGACCCACAGAGGACAGCTCTTGCCACGCTGGGAAGCAGAGTTAGGCGAAGGTGTCCTGGTGGAAGAGTGAGCAGGAATTGGGAATTCCCAATCAGTTGGGAAAAGGAGGGAGCAAGATAACTCTCGCTTTCTAGGTAGTAGGACCAGCAGGAGGCAAGGTAGGAGATGGCGGCACAGCTTTTTACAAGAATTTGAGGTATGTCGATAATGTGGAGAAACGTACATGAAATGTGAGTTCTGCTTTTATGACTCACGGTTTCCTTACCGAAGACATTGATTACATCTGTTGTTGAAAAAAAGGCGTGTATGTTGAAGAGCTCAGGAGAAAATAGAATAGAGAGGTAGAATGTACGAATTTGATATCTTCCCCGAATTAAATGGTTCCACCTAAGGAAACAAAGAAGAAAATCCACTGTTTATTTCTCTGTCTCCTTTGCTAATCTTTAAGCAATGTGAGACCAGGGAGCTTCTGTCTCTGTGTCCCTAGAATGTTAATGGGGCCTGGCATATAGAATGCAGTCAGTGAACATGGGGTGAACGAATGAGTTTCAGATCCAGCTACTTTGACAAATCACCTTACCTCTCTGGGCCCGTTTCCTTAACTCAAAATGGAGGCAGATTGCTATAGATAATCTCTAAGATTTTATCCTACCTTACGAGTGACCACATATATCCCAATTGCTTGCTCTTGAGGCCCTGAAGTTCACACACATCTGTTTGGCTTTACCTGTTCACGCTCAGGCCAGCTCTGTGTCCTGCCCTGGAGAACCAGTTAAAACCCACAATCAGCCACCACTGAGCGAGTATGTATCAGGGTAGACAATATACTAGGCATGGGAGGATGTGAAGTGTGTGTTCCCCCCCCTTACCTTAGGAGAGAATTTATCATCTAGCTAGAGAGATAAGGTAAACACGTAGAAAAATAAGTTGCCTTAAGCGGAGAGAGGGTCAGAATGCGAATGTACAGGGTAACCAGAAGAGCTACTCTGAGAAGCAGCTCTGTGGCCAGTGTGTATGTGTGTGTGTGTGTGTGTGTGTGTGTGTGTGTGTGTGTGTGTGTGTTTTATATTTAATATTTTTTATTTTTAAATAATCTCTACACCCAACATGGGGCTTGAACTCACAACCTCGAGATCAAGAGTCTCATGCTCTACTGACTGAGCCAGCCAGGCGCCCCTGTGGCCAATGTGTTTTGGCCTCCAGTCACCATTCTCTGTCACCAATGGGCCCATATTGCAAGTTATTTTCTCCCTTGAATACCCTGTATTCATTCAGAGACATTTTGTTCCTTCCTATGTCATATCAGCCAAAGACTTCCAATTGGAAATTCAGACTAGCATCGAGAGATCCTGTGTTCTTCACACTGAGCTGATTGAAGTCTAGCCAAAGACAAAGAAACAAGCAAAGAAACAATGGCAATTATGATAGAGTTATCCTCTCTTGAACATTTGTCTTGTGCCAGCCGTTATTTCATTGAATTCTCCTAAGTGTTCGAGGAGGGAACTGTTGTAAATCCCTATTTTCAGATGAGAAGATGAAACTTTAGCTTCGTGTTCAAGGTAGTAATTGTTGGAACTGGGACACAGAACCAGACCCAGACCACAGGCTCATGTTCTGTCCTGCTGTAAGCCTGTGCCTGCGGCTGTGTCCAGGGTAAATACATGATTTAGGACAGTGGTCGGCAAACTACGGTCTCGTGGGCCAAATCCACCTACCACTTAGTTTTGGGTGGCCTGTGAGCTAAGAGTAGGTTTTACATTTTTAAATGGTTGAAAAAAAATTCAAGAGAAGAATAATATTTTATGACAGGTGAAAATTATATGAAACACAAATTTAATGCTTATAAATAAAGTTTGATTGGAACACAGTCATGGTCATTAAGTAATGCGTTGTCTGTGGCTGATTTGTTATTGCTATAGTAGTATGACCTGCAAAGCCTAAAATATATACTGTCTGGCCTTTTACAAAACGGCCTTTCACCGACATCTGATTTAGGGCATTCATTAGACTTTATGGGTTGTTGAAAATCACCTGTCACTTCCCATCTCTGTCTTTACAAGTCATGGACAGGCTCTGCTGGGCCAGCTCT